ATAATTAGAAAATTTGATATTATATTTTACGACATATTATTTTCACCGGGCTAAAAAAAAATTGAGTTTTTTTTTCTAATAACAAAATTCCCTAAAAGGATTTTATATGTATTTTACTATAAAATTGATCATCGGGCGTTACTTTTGTTGCCTACTGTGCCAAGACAGGTTTAGATTGCCGTTTTCGTTTTTTTTATTTTTTTATTTCCTCGGACTACATAGAAAAGTCACGTGGGTACAAGACTTTAGCGGACCCCGAATTTGGTATATTGTAACTAGATTGTCTTACAATTATACTGATACAGGAAGCTTGTGTGCATTTGTAATTGTCGTTTGAGTGCTTAATTTCTATTTTAAGGTTAAATAAAGCAGGTGTTGATATGCGACCGAAAGAGATATAATATCTGCCGAAAATAAATAGTTTCGACACATTCTAAAAATGGTTTTTCGACATATTTTTCTTGTGATAATATAATTCGAGTAATTTAGGCACCATCGAAAGGAGTGATGATGATATGATGTTAAAAGGGATGAAATTTTTCAGATGTATACTGACGTAAACATCTTTTCTTGAAAACAAAATGAAAGATATAGTAGAATTTGTTCGTTTAGAGGGAGAAACATCGAAGCATCTGGTTGAATATTTTTGCGCAGATTTGTTTCAAAAAGATTAGGTGGCAAAGTTCATCGCACAGGGTAGGTTTTTTTTTACTGAGTCTTGTAGAGTCATTATGTATCCGAAGGAACGCTGTCACCTTGACGTAAATAATTTGAGAATCGAAAGCACAGCGGGCCATGTTTAATTACATGAACGTTCTTCTCAGTTTTCAAGGACCCCGTCCGTAGACGTAAAACCTCGAGTGTTTAATGATGAATAGGATACATGCTGACTTCAGCTAAGTATGATTATGAAACATATGCTCAATTAAATTGTCAATTTAAAGGAAAGAACGATGGAGGAAGAGATCTAGAAGTAGAATTATGTGCATTTAACATTGGAGTGCAATGTAAAGCTTATTTTTATAAGAACATAGGTATTTAATTAATAATAGATTTTTAACTTATATTACAAATACTTAACTATTTTTATTTAGATAGAGACCACATTGACGCATTCAAGACCGTTGTGCGAGAACGTGACTATGATATCGGCGTTTTTGTAGGAGTTCTAGAGAAAGAATTTCATTGGAGCGTATATATCAGCTACAAAATCGGTTCGTGTTATTGTCACAACCTATAAAAGAATGTGCCAAGACGTTCTTGATTTTATCATTAATCGATTAAATCAAGAATCTCGTGCCGTAGAAGACAGGTGTAAATTTAGGTTAAATTATAAGTTAATTTTTATTTCCTTTTTTGCAACCTTTGTATCAATTTCATATACATTTTTACTTTATAAATTTTTAGTTAATTGACAATACTGCATGTTCCAATCTTGCATTGGAATTAAAAACAGCAAAGCAAGTTCACAAATCAAGAACATAAATACTTATTTATCATTACTATTATGTAATACCCTTCAAATCATTTCATTCGTATTAATCATTCATTCAGCTTGCGAGTATAAAGAACATTTATTAATCATTTGAATTAAAAACATCCGATTGTACTAAGAGAGGGGGAGCTCAAAAGAGGGGGAGTAATGTAAACCACCAAATCAAATTGGTCCGGCCTTACTGATGTATATTTATAATTTTTTTTGATATATATACTTTTGCTTGTTTTATTTTTTTTCTTTTTCTCTTTTGACTTTTTTTTTCTTATTTTTTTACTTTTTTTCTTTTTCTTGCATTTTCTTGCATTTTGTCTTTTCTCATATATCTTAATTAATAAAGATTTTGTTAATTCATATATAAAGATTTATTTATTGTATTAGCTGTGTTAGCCTCTTCAATGACTTTCGTATGATTGGCTAGTGTAAATCAATTGCCGGGTAACTTATTTTAGTTTAGTGAAACATGCTTTTACTATTTTTACTTTTACCAGTTGTTTAGCTAATAACAGAATCCATTTTTAGCAAAGAAATGAGTAAAAAAGGTTATTTACAGCATCACAAATTGAAAACGTTGTATAGTCTATAGTCTTGGCCTTGGTTATGCTATAGTAGAGCAGAGCAAAGCAGATCAAACCAGACTGGTCAGAAACACTGAAAAATTTTGCAGATGTATTTGTAAAAAAAATGTATATATTTTTTGATAGTATGTTAAAAAAATGAATGGTTTTTGTATATATATTACAACCTATTTCATTATTTTCTACTTTACTTTTTTTTTATTCGAATTTTTTACTGCCCTGATGAATTAATACTCTAAAGTTATACTTTATAAGAAGCGAAGCGTTCATCTGATTATAAGTGAATATGTTAGGTGCACATGTATGGTAATTAAGTTTGGTGAAACACGGTTTGCTGTTTTTGCTTATTTTTGGCGAAAAAAATGGCTGAGATTAACTGCATCGAAATTAAAAGCGTTGTAAGTTGGTCTCACTCTTGCTATAATACAACAGAGTAGAGCAAACCAGAAAAGACCAAAGCAGATATAACCGATCAAAAGCATTAGAAAATTTTTGGAAATGCCAAATTTTTGGAAAACATAAATAGTTTTTTGTTGATATTTTGTGATTAATTTCGTTGTTTTTGCTTTACATTTTTTCCATTTGAATTTTTTACTCCCTGATGAATTGATAATTTAAAATCCCTAATTTATAAGAGGCAAGATGTTTGTACATTTATAAGCAAATATGTTTGATTGTTATTATCCGCTTTAATCTTGAATCACAAAATTAATTTTAATTACAACTGTTCTCATAAAATTCTGGGACAATGATAATAATTGATCAATGATCATTTGGCCGAATTTGAATTGTGTTATCGGAATTGCTATAATGTCGAAAATCTAATATTAATAATACCAAATTCAAAATTTATTGCAGAATTTATGAGAACAACTATAATTGGTTTTTATAATCCGGCTGGGCTAATTTTGAGAGCTTAAAAAATTTTTTATATATTTTGATGACCGAGTGGGTTTTTAAATAAAACTTTTATAAAAATTTTATATATGAAATTTAAAAAGAAAAGTTGGCCTGCCAGCAGAGTCTGTTTAAAAGTTTCATGTTATGTTTCGAATTTGTATAATCTAATTAATGAAACAATTTTTTTTTGACATATCATAATCAATTTTATATAAATTGTTTGATATAAAATTTACCAGTCAGTTAAGTGCTATACTGCACTAATTATAGCTGTTCTTATAAATTTTGGAACATCTGGTATGATTGTTTGACCGATTCGATGAGTTATTAATTTCAGCATAATCAGTGTAATATCTATTATTTACGGTACTGTATATATGTACATATGATTTGTAAATTAAAATTTATATGAAACATATAAAACACTACGAGGATTTAAATAACCTCATTTCACATCCTAACCAAAATGACAGTAATTCATAAAAATATCAGTTAGGCTTTTCTTTTATTAAAATCTTAAGATATTTTATATTATTCAGGTTTAATAGATATGATTTTCTTACAGGTGGTGGAAGTCATTCAACACATCCAGATCTTTGAAATAGAGATTGTACCTGCTAAGAAATTTTCTACCCAGGTACTATTAAATTATCTAATTATCCAGATAATTTATTATGACCATATAATAGAAATGTCTACTCAGATACAATCTCTACTTTAAAATTGTTTAAGAGCTTGACTTATTGAAGATGTGCTAATATTTAAGTATTTAACAATTATTCAAACTGATAACGTTTCTAAATTTTTTTTGCTATTTTCTAGCGAATATGCTCAAAAATATCATATTTAACTAGTATTATATTAATATTGGTTATCTGATCTAGTGATAATACCCGGATTATCTGCAGATAATCGGATATCCAGGTTGTAAACTCAGCTATCTGAGTAAACATATCCAGGTAATACCCAGGTAAACATAATCTTCGAGTAACAAAAGTTTGAATATTATATAGATAAAGACAATAAGTAGTGATAGACAACATGTATGATTCTATATAGATTTTTAATATAAAATTATCTGGTCTGCATTAGCTTATCATTTGGTCTGCATTAACATATTATCTGATCTGTATTAATATAAATGGACCAATTCTTAGTAATAATGTTCTACATAGAACTTTTTATTTTTTCTTACTTTATATATCAGATATTAGATATATATATATATACATATGTATTGTATATTGTAAAAGACAGATCGACCTTGATAGTACTGCAGTAACTAGTATAATACAAATAAATAGTAGGAAAAATAAGACTAATAAGAAAATTAGAATAGCTAGAAAAATTAGAATTCATATTATTCTTATATATGTAAAGTTTCTTTAGAAATAAAATATAACTTTTAGAGTTCAAAGCTTCTAAGTTCTTTAATAGAAGTGTTTGATAATTAAAATTTGTAATAACAATAAAATTAATAATCAAATTTTGTAATTCTGTAACAAAATACTTATAATATAGTATAGAGTTTTAATTGAATCTAGTTACTTAGACCAAGTTTTTTTATGTCTTGATTATTGCTTTGCTATTATTAGGATTGAGTTAAAGTGGTTTAGTTAGTAATAAAGTAGCATTATAGAATATTTTGTATTATAGAAGAAGTTCACCCTTCACAACGTACATATATATGGTGCAAAAATTTACAAAATTTTAATTACTCTATATAGAGATAATACACCAACTGTATATTAAAAATAAATTTCATAAATTTTATTATTAATAAAATAGAGAATCGATTTTTTGTATAAAATAAAATATAAAAAATAGAATAAATCTAATTGTAGCACTCTGTTATACAATTTATTTATAATATCTAACTTAATACAGCCAATAAAAATAATTAAAAATTTATATAACCCAAACCCTAAATCAAAATCTAATTAGCTTGTTATGTATAACAGATGTTGCAAATATATTTTTTTTAAAAAAATATATATATAAATAAATTAGTAAGTATATAAGAAAATTGATATTTTCACACTCTATTTTGATATTGTCACATCTATAATATTAAAAATCAATATAAATTATTAAGATTTTAGTTAGGGTTTAAGATATTAAAGGTGTAACAATATCAAAAAAAATGTAGAAATATCAATTTCTTTTATTATTATAAAAAATTCAAGAACCTTACTCAATTCTGCAAATTTTACATGGCTGTATAGGATTTTGAAAAAATTGTGATTTGCTATTACTAACAATAAGGTATTATAAAACTATATTGAGTTTAAACCTAGCAGTAACTTATCAAGTACAAGAGTAATTTACAGCTATAATAGATATGCACTAATCTATTATCTAGTTTAAATTCTGAAATTAGTGTGTTTTAGTGAATAGACTTACAAAACCTGTATTTTTTCCTAAAATAATACAAAATTTTTAATTTATCAAATTGAAATACTAATAGAATAATTTATCTTTATGTCTGAGGTTGTTATCAATATGAAGCTAGAAACAACAACCCTAGATAGATCCAGGTTATCACAGACCTAATTGTAACTTTAAAAAATTATTTGTACATGGTATTCACGCTAAATTTGCAAATCTTTAGATGATTATATAGAACTCATTGTTGTTGATCAAACAATCAAAAATGATCTAATAGAATAATTTATCTTTATGTCTGATGTTGTTATCAATATGAAGCTAGAAACAACAACCCTAGATAGATCCAGGTTATCACAGACCTAATTGTAACTTTAAAA